TTTAAGAGTTTTAAGAGTTTAAGAGTTTTTAAGAGTTTTAGTCAAATGCTTTATAATATAGTATAGATAATAAAAAAGGGAATTGAATTTGGGTGAACACGGCACGGGGGTGGCTTTAACTTTAACCCTTCAAAATCAGCAAACTCCATGGTTTTTAAAGCCAGGGAAGACACCATCCCACCCCAACCCCACACCCCCAGTGAGTGGATAAACAATTAGGAACCCACTTCATGCTTTTCCTTCTATTTAATCCAACCCTCCTTTGCATTCTCTCTCTCTCTCTGCGCGTCTCTTTAATCAGCCATCGAAACCTTCAAGATCTTCAGATCAAAACCCATTCTTAATCTTATTCACTAATCGTTACTCATCATAAACTCTCTACTTCTCTCAACGTTTCCTTCTCATCGATGATAGTCTGGTATCTTTATAATTCTTAAACGAGGGCGGTGTCGGTGGCGCTACACTTTCTAGGGTTAGGGTTTTCAAGAATTGGATGAGTAAGGTGGTGGTCACATGCTTTCTTGCCGAAGATATTTGGGATAGGATAAGGAGAGATTGTGGGTTGGTCATTCGTAGTCGCGGTAGGTGGGGCAAATGTGGCTGATTTTCTTTATTTATTTCTGAATTTCCGGCCAACAACCACCGCCATTACTTTTCCTTCTTTATTTTCTTTTGATCTGATTTTCATTTCAAGAAACAAGACTGTGCCAGGTTCACGATGCAGCAAGATCGGAGAAGAAAGGTTTAACTAACTACAACTTATCGTCCATTTCATTTTATCTTTGAGTCCAAAACACCAGCATCGCATATTACAGATGTATATTACTGGATTTGTTTTAGTTTTAGATGCTATTTATCGCTTGTGGATTGTATATTTCTTCTAGGAACCTCTGATTTTCTTTTTGAAATAGCTTTTACATAGAGGAGGAGAATCCTATGTATCTACAGAGGGCTGATTTTGTTTATTTATTCATGGGTTTTTGATAGTTTATCTGTTGTGTTACTGATTTTATCCTGATTCATATTTTTTTTCCTACAATATATGTAGTTCTTTGGAGTTCTTGTTCATTTTAACGCTTAATCAATAGTAAAGCAATGTGGACATGTTTTACATTGAGATAGTGTAAAGGGGTTGTTTGGTTAGTTTTCCATCAAGTCCTTAATGGATAAAACTCTCTGTGTGGATTATAGATTGGGAAGGCTTTTGTTTGGAAGAGTTATAGATGGAATGAGTGTTTTTATGTGGTTGGGGCACGTTTGGAAAAAAAAAAACTTGGCTTTTTGCAGTAAGCTCTCCTCTAGAAGCTTACTGAACAAGTCACTTTCTATATCATTAAGCTTCTACCAAACAATCATGAATAACTGACGGAATAAGCTGTGAGTCTTGTTAAGCTCTTTAAGCTATTAACAAACATGTCCCAAGTTTATATGTTGTACTAGATATACTTTTAATTGCGACTGAAATTATTTTGTTTGAACATTGTTGGTTATAGTCTCTTGTTTGAGAATTGAGATGCCATCTTTAATGACTTGATTACATGTGATCTGACCTGGTGATGAATGTGTTGCAGAGTTCAAAAGATGTAGAGTTTTTCACTGAATACGGTGAATCAAATCGATACAAAATCTTGGAGATAATAGGAAAGGGAAGTTATGGAGTCGTTTGTGCAGCCGTTGACACACAGACTGGGGACAAGGTTGCAATAAAGAAAATAACCAACATTTTTGAACATTCATCTGATGCTATTCGGATTTTGCGTGAGATTAAGTTGCTTAGGCTTCTACGTCATCCTGATATTGTTGAAATTAAGCGGATCATGTTGCCACCATCAAGACGCGACTTCAAAGATATTTATGTGGTATTTGAACTAATGGAATCTGATCTTCATCAAGTTATAAAAGCCAATGATGACTTGACGCATGAGCACCATCGGTTTTTCCTCTATCAAATGCTACGAGCTTTGAAATATATGCATACAGGTAGCTGTTTTTGATTGCGTGTGATGTGATTTTGTTGGTGGGAATTTCTACTTAAAATGGATGAGTCTTTCGAGGCATTAAAAATATCTCTCTTTCTGGTATGTTATTTTTTCTCTTTGGAACCAAAAATTGATCCATAGTTTATGAAATCAGCAAACGTGTACCATCGAGATCTCAAGCCAAAGAACATATTAGCAAATGCAAATTGCAAACTCAAGATATGCGATTTTGGACTAGCAAGGGCTGCATTTACTGATACCCCAACCACAATATTTTGGACGGTAAGTTATTTATTTAATTGTTAAAAATTATGTACTTCTAATTCGATTTCCTTTCTACAATGCACATTGAAATAACAACTTTTTCTTTGTTTTTTTAATACATTGTAGGATTATGTTGCAACAAGATGGTATAGAGCTCCTGAGCTATGCGGATCTTTTTACTCAAAGGTATAGCCCACGAGGGTATATTGACCCGTCTTCTCCTAGTATGTATGATAGATGACCACGAATTTCTCGGATTATTGCTTAAATATTGAGGTCCTTGAATTGATCTTTGATGGTGTAATGTATTGCCTAATTGTATTTGACTTTAAGAATTTCTTACTTACGGTTTGAATTATTGTGTTACTATTTGAGCTCCTGATATTTCAAGGTGCTTGTTAGTGACTTTTAAGTATTGGACTGTATTTAAGATCGCTGAACGTATCACCCTAGTTACCAATAAAAAGATGATGCTTTTGCTGCTACGAGATCTGAACGTTCCAAACTACAATTGTGGTATGGAATGTATGATATATGTGATGTCTACATCGGTCGTGTTTGTACTTGTTTATTCTGAATAATTCTTGTTCAGGGGTGCACTCTTCTGAACTCTTCTGGAAGTTGAATTTTCTGTCCTTTTCAGGTAACCGTATTAGGGCTTGTGTGAATTTGTGGTGGGTGTGGTTGGTCTGTTTGTTTTCTTTGGCCTTGTGACTTTCTATCTGATTTCTGTTTCCATCTTGATTGCAGTATACCCCTGCTGTTGATATTTGGGGCATTGGATGTATATTTGCTGAAGTATTGACAGGAAAGCCACTCTTTCCTGGCAAGAGCGTTGTCCACCAGTTGGAGCTTATCACTGATCTTCTTGGGACACCATCATCAGATACCATTTCTAGAGTACGTTACATTGCATTATTTTCCTTCTTCATATAAATATTAGGGAAAATCAATCACCATGATCACCGTCAAAGTTACCACGGTTTCTTTCTTATGGGACATGCATCGGAGCTAATCTACCTCCCCCAAAAAGAAAAACAAAAACACACCCGAAAAAAGAAGTAAAAGGTGTATGTTTGATGGTATCTTTGGATTTTTAGCATTGTTAAAGCTTTAGTCACATTTAACCTCATGCAGGTTCGTAATGACAAGGCAAGAAAATACTTAACGGATATGCGAAGAAAGAAGCCTGTGACGTTTTCAGAGAAATTTCTAGATGTCGACCCCCTGGCACTTAGGCTATTGCAAAGGTTGTTAGCGTTTGATCCAAAGGATCGACCAACTGCAGAACAAGTATGTTCCGTATCATACTCGATTTCACTTTCTCATACACAACTCTACAGCTACTGCTTGTAGTAATTGGGTCAAATTGCATAAAAGTAGAACGTACTTTGTTCCGGTGTCTATTTTGCCTAAGGTGTGACAGCTCAAACATCTTAAGTACCTTTTTTACACCTAATGGCTTTGGTTTTGCTGACGTGACAGTGATATTTTATCTTTTCTAAATACAAACTAATCAAAACAATTTCACATATTTTGTTTTTGTTTTGGAAGTATTGTAAAATCTGTAATAGCAACTGATTTAACACATATTACAAAATATCGACGTCATGTTAGAGATCTTGTTAAGCCAACATTTATGATCCATTAAATCCAAACCACACAAACCTAGTATATCCTGCTCAAAAGTAGAGGTCTGGGAGGGGTGAGATGTGTGCGTCCTGACCTCTACCCCCAAAGAATAAAATGGCATGTCCTGGCTTGTGCAAAGATGTGAGCGAAAAAGAAAAGGACGAGAACACATTTACAAGGCATTAAGTTACTTAAATGTTTGAGATGTCACATCTTAGACACCCAAATGAAGCTTTTGACACTGCGTTACCCAAAATAAGTAGTGGAACAAAGTGCAATTCATTTTCATGCAATTTGCTCTTCTTAGTTTGGTGTTTGCATGTTTTTGTATTCAATGGTGATACTTTTTCTTAGTAGCAAGCTGACTTATCTTGCAAGTGTTTGATCAGGCACTAGCTGATCCATACTTCAAGGGACTTTCCAAAGTTGAGAGGGAGCCTTCTTGTCAGTCATTTTCAAAGTTGGAGTTTGAGTTTGAGAGGCGCAGGGTAACAAAGGAGGACATTAGGGAATTAATATTCCGGGAGGTTCTGGAATACCACCCTCAGCTGCTGAAAGATTACATGGCTGGGAATGATCACTCCAATTTTCTTTATCCTAGGTTCGGAATATCGGTCCATGGTTTTACTTGCCTCTGGCTTTGTTCTCTATTGGCTTCTTCCTAGGTTCTAACATCTCCACTTCTAATGTGCAGTGCCATTGGTCAATTTCGGAGACAGTTTGCGTATTTTGAGGAAAACGTTGGGAAAAGCGGGCCTGTTATACCTCCAGAGAGGAAGCATGCTTCTCTCCCAAGGTAAAGACTGTTTTTTAGCAGCTTAATGATCTTGATGGATTCATGACATATTCAGTCAGCTATACATGACTGTTTGGTAGTGGCTTAATGATATAGAAAGTGGCTTATTCAGTAAGCTTCTAGGAGGAAGCCTTTTGATTTGCTACCCTGCCATGATTGAAGGAGAATGGATGAGGCTCGTGGGATTGACGTGAGGGGGCAGGGATGGCTATATTTCTGGGAGCAAACTCCGGACGAATGTGAATGCAGAAAGCCAAGTCTTTTTCCAAACATGTCCCGCCCAATTAAAAAAACACGTTCCTTCCCTCTATGAAAAAACCCTCCCAAACAAGAACCTTTTCAATCTATATAGAAAGATTAATCCATCCACACAGGACTTGATGGAAAACCAACCAAACAACCCCTAAACTGTCCTCCAACGCTAGGCAGATCTAGATTCGATGATATGTAGTCTATTAAAAATATAAAATCAAAACGGTCGTTGACTAAATTGATAACTTAGGAATAGAAACCATTATCAAAACGATCATTGACTAATTTGATGTAAATATGGTTATATTTATTTGCAACAAAATAAAAAACTCATGTCGCTTTCTTTGACTTTGTTTATGATATTTGAACACTTAGGTGTACAGTTTCTTCTTTGAGTATGATTGGTGGTCCTCCGAAGCTGCAGCAGTGTTTGGCTGCATTTGAGAATAGACCAATGGTAGAAAACGTGTCTTGTAATGCAAGCGGAAACATTTTTAACGCTGCCGCTGCCCGGCCACCCCCCAGGATGCCCAAAGGTAAATAAATAAACAAAAATGTTTTCACAGTTGTCGCAAGTCGTTATTGTGGGTGTTTGATAATTGTATATGATCAGGAAGGGTCGTTGGGCCAGTTCTTCCGTTTGAGGGTAGCCGAGAAATGAAAGATCCTCGGGTAATGGTTAGAAATGGTGGTGGATATGCATATAGGAGCAATAGCGGAAAGATTGAAGCAGATGATAGGGATTCTTATTCCTTGATCAAACAGCAAACAACGGCAACGGCAACGGCTAAAGGGTTGATCAACAGTAACCCGTATTACAACCAAGGTCATGGGCATGGTCAACAGGCAAACGAAAGGATAGCAATGGATCCGAAGTTTATGCAGGTGGCACAGCCACAATATGGCGTGGCGGGAGCGGCAGCAGTTGCTGTTGCCGCCCATAGAGAGGTTGGTGTTGTTCAGATATCGTAGATGTGGTTTGCGGCGGCTCTGTTTTCGTTTTCAATCTTTAGCTTAAATGGTGTTTTAGTTGCTGTATATTGCATACTCCTTTTGAAATAAGGAAGAGGATATTGAAATAAAATTGTGTTTTTTCCTAATAGGAGGAAAAAAAAAATCAATGATTGTTAACACCTCCCCTTCATTGATTAGTTGTGGTTAAGAAATTTTATGATGATTGTTTATAAACTAAATGGTAGTGTCTGAGCGAGATAAGGCGTTCACATTTAGTATGAATAATGAAGGTGAAGTTCATGATGAATAGCACATATTCGTTATGAATGATACATTATCTACGATGAATAACCCATGAAAAGTGTGAGACACATGTCGCGCTCTCTTTTATCCCAACTAAAAATCAATTTCTTTTGAGCCCACCCCATTTTATTATATGTATACGTATATCATGTTATTTGTTTTATCCAAAAAGTAATTTTTTTAAATTAAAATAATGTATTAATTATTTATGCAAGGAACATGATTTAAATAATAATCAATTTTTTGTCGTGATACTAATATCATCATGAATGATATATTATTCATGATGAATAATCCTGAGATTAGTGGGCTAGCATAATTAGATTGGATATCTAAGTTAATAAAAAAATGTTTTATTAAAAACATAATCACAAGTTAGGTGACAAATAGAATGGAAAAAGAATCCGTGCAGCTAATAAGTGGTCTCTTTATCTGACCAAATCTTGCTGCAAATATAAATTTCCACCCAACTTTTACCAAAATTACTCCTACAGCTGTTCTCTCTGTGTCTGCAACCAACAACCTGTTCACATGTGTCTAATCTTCCTCTTCCTTTTTCAGGAACCAAAAAATAGGAGGTGTTAACACCGACTTAACGTGAAAATGATAGTCAGAAAAATCAACAGCACGGTACCATGACCAAGGAAGGATTCATACCCTTTGTCAACTCATTTTTGTGTTGTTATCGCATACCCGACCCTACGTTCAACTACCAGACGGAAAGTGGGTTCCTCACACAATGTCAACACATCTATAGCACTCTTCTTGAATCTCTTATCTGTATTTTAACATCATAGATTTCTCTTGCCCAACACACTAAACTTGCTTAATTCACAACATGGGTAATGCTCGGTTTCTGGGTCTCTATATCACCATATCCGTACTAGCTTTCGTTATCTCAAAGATCACCATAGCAATCCTCATGTATCGCCGATGGCAAAGAAAACACTTGGTCATGCAACAAAGCACCATCTCTGGTATGTTTTCATGGACTTTCCTTTCTTCTTCCTCTTGCAGTTCTTTACTTGGACTCTGATGTGCATTTCCAGGTGGAAAGCTGGTGTTGTTTAGATCACCAAATATAAAGTCCATCAAATCAGATATTTTCTTGAAGAAGACAATGAAACTGACCAGCAAAGATAGAATTGGATCTGGGGGGTATGGCACAGTTTATAGACTCACCATTAACGACTCGACCTCTTTTGCTGTCAAGAAGTTAAGCAAAGAAACCACAGAGCAAGATCGAGGTTTTGAGAGAGAGTTGGAAGCAATGGGGGATATAAAGCATCGGAATATAGTTACTCTCCATGGTTATTATACCGCACCCAACTATAATCTACTCATCTATGAGTTAATGCCTAATGGAGGTTTAGACACACTACTCCATGGTACGAACTTGGTTATGAACAAATATATATTTTCTATTTGCATGATTTGTTTTTAGTTTTCATTATCGTTAGGGGAGGCTAATGGCACCCCTATCAATTGCCATTAGCACCCCTAAAACTAGTTGTCATTATTGTTTTGTTTTTATTGTTTTTTTTATGTTTTTTTTATTGTTATTTTAATTTATTTTTAAAGAAATTTTTTATTTTGTTTTTTTCTGTTTATTTATATTATATTTTGATCAATACAAATTATT